TTTATCTTTTCATCTACCCACCCATCAATCTATGCATAGAACCATCCATCCATCCTTCCATATATCATCCATCTATCCATTTATCCATCCATTCACTTATATTTCCATTTAGCCATCTACCAATCTATCCATAGAAACATCCACCCATGTATCTATTGAAGCTCCATGGACAAGAAAAGTCTATCTGTCACTATAACTTCCTGAGGGCATCAACCTGAAATGACTTTTCCCTCTTTTATCCTATTAGCCCAGCTATCTCATCATTGGCTCAGGATGTTCTCTTTTTTAAAAAAAATAAATTTTATTAATTTTACAATTAAAAACAGATCTACAATACATACACAAAAAACAAGGCCTTGACAAGGCCAAGAAAAGAAAGAAAGAGAGAGATGTAAAAAGAAAGAAAAAGGGAAGAAAAAAGAAAGAGAAATGAAAAAGAAGCATTAAAAAAAAAAACAATATGGCTCAGGATGTTCCCTTAAAGGACTTTTCATTCTCCATCTATGACTCACAGGGACCTTCCCTCCAATTTCGCTTAACTTTACTACCCATTACACCGGGTTACCGGTGGAGAATGATGGGAAATGTAGTCTAATTGCACCTGGGGAAGGCAGGATGGAAAGTGGTATAATCCTGACTAAAAAGAAAAAAATCCATTCATCTTGAAAGACAGCAGGAAGTGGAATGGAGTTCAGGCCAAAAGGGTCAAAAGAGTCAAAATGGAGGCCATAACCATAGGTCACATGTTAAAAAACAAACAATTGTGTGATTGTGGCCACCATTTCAATTTTTTGTGACCCTGTCTTTACAGAGACCACTGAATTGGATTAAATTACTGTATTTCTGAACCTTGGCCACTTCGTGGTTTGTGGACTTCAATTTCCAGAATTCCCCAGCCAGCTTGCTAGGGAATTCTGGGAGTTGAAGTCCACACAATTTAAAGTGTCCGAGATTGAGAATCTATAACATTTTCCAATCCAACTTTGTGGCCTCCAGTTCCCAGAATTCTCAGCAGAGGGTGTGGCCTTGCTGGGCTGGGGAATTCTGGGAGTTGAAGTCCACCCTGTGAAGAAAGACCTCTAGGAATCTAGAATCTTGTGATCTTAGGAAATAAACCCATATTAAAGGAAAGCCCCCAAAAAACCAGGAGAAAAAAGAAAAAAAAATATTAAGCACACAGCAACTGAGTAAAGAGAAAGGAAGTCCAGTCATTCTGCAGTGGGTCACACCTACCTGCCCAGGTGAGGTGTGGTGTTTGGGATCTGCCTGGGTTTGATGCGCCAAGAGAGGGTGGAAGGAAAAAGAAGAGAAGCAGGATTGAGCCTGGTTGCAAAGGAAAAACACGTCTAAATATCGGACATTCGTCAGCCAGAAAGAGCAACAAGGGGCTTCGACGTGGCAGCAATGGGCAAGGAGTCAAAAAAATCAAAATGGCAGCCACAAAGGGCTGCCATTTTGTTTCATCCCAATTGCCACCTGAGCTTCCACCCCATATTTCAGTTGAAATCAAACTCTCCAAGCTGAGCTCAATTCCTGGTAACATCACAGACACACTGCATCCTTCAATTTGCCTTTTCAAGTTTCCAGTCCAGTTTACAGACCTGGATTGAATTTGGCTGCAAAGGAAAAACACATTTAAATATCAAATGTTTGTAATCCAGAAGGCACAACAAGTGGATTAGACACAACAGTAGCAAGCAGGTGGTTTTTCCAGCTCGGCAGGGAGTCAAAAAGGTCAAAAAAGTCAAAATGGCAGCCATAAAAGGAGGGCCCTTTTAATCCCAATCACCATCTTGATTTTTCTGACTTCCTTCTCTTATTTCACTCAAAATTAAATCACATTCTCCGAGCAGAGATTTATTTCTGGAAATATCATAGGCACAATTGCATTCTTCAATTTGCCTTTTCAAGTTTCTAGTCCAGTTTGCAGACCTGGATTAAGCAGGAAGCTGCAAAGAACCCCCCATGTCTACCCAGAATTGCTTTGGATAGCTAGATGAGCAGCATATAAATTTAATAAATCAATAAGTAACCTCATTCCTTCCAAAAAATTAATTGGGCCCCCCAAAAGGGTTAATGAATTTGCAAATTACAAAAAACAAAAACAGAATTACCACTCAACTCTCTTTCACGTGCACAAAGTGTTAAATTTAGCATCAAAATAGATGCAATCACATAAAGGATTAAACTCAGTTCCACCATGTTTCGTATTGTCTGAACATGGAAACCTAATTAATCACCATTTTTAATTTTATTTTGCCTACCGGGTCCTCTGTGCAAAAGAGTTGAAGAGACAGACCAGCCTAGTTGTGACCCTATTATATAGGACTGTCTGCGAGCAGCCGGCAATGCTGAGTGCCCTTCCTCAACCCCCATTGGCTGTAGTGAGCAAGCCACACCCTCTGCCAATTCTCTGAGGAACAGTGAGGAACAGCCTATGATGTGTTGAAGTCTTGCTAATGCCCTCTTGGTGCAAGAAAGTGGGAGGGGCCTCCAACCTTAACAACTTTAAGACCTGTGGACTTCAACTCCCAGAATTCTCCAGGCAGCCATGCTGGCTGGGGAATTCTGGGAGTTGAAGTCCACAAGTCCTAAAGTTGCCAAGGTTGGAATCCCTTGACTTCTGTTGATTTTTTTTAACCTGGTTAGGCAATTCTGTGCTGTCAGATCTACCAATGTTTGGTTTAGTCTCTGTGTTACATGTGAATGCACTTAGAGGGGCTTTATTCTCACATCATGCTGGTTTTGAATTAATCCATGTTATGGTTGTATCCAATGCATTGAATCCATACATGCCCCAAAGAGGCTGAAGTTCACATTTCCAACGAAGCCACAAAAACAGACCAAGGTTAAATCAAGCCAAGGTTAGCAGCCATTTGCTCTTTCCTTGAGCAAGGGGCGTAAACATAGCTTGTATACTTTAGATTAGAGTTGGAAGGGACCTTTGTAGGTCATCTAGTCCAACCCCCAATCAATCAGGAGACCCTACCACACCATTTCTGACCGATGGCAGTCCAGTCTCTTCTTGAAAGCCTTCAGTGATGAAGCTCCCACAACTTCCAAAGGAAACTTCTGTTCCATGTCTGAACTCCTCCGAGAGGAGAGTCCCCTGCTTGGGCGAGGTGTGTGGGTTGGACTAGATGACCTACAAGGTCCCTTGCAACTAATCTGTTAATCTGAGCTCAAATGATGAGGCAGAGAGAGATTATTTGACAGTTCCTGATGCAAGGTTCCTGATGAAATAGTTACTAGAACAATGGGAGTCAGGAGATCGTGGTAATTACACAAACCAAGATCAATCCTGTTGGGTCACCTTGGGGCAATCGCTTTTTCTTAACCTCATCCTACCTCAGTAGGTGGTTCTTTGTAGTAAAGAGGACAGGAGGGAATGGTAAACATATTGATTCGAGTCCCTGATTGCTAACTAACATCATGTACATACAGTATATACAGGCAGTCCTCAACTTACAACAGTTAGCTTAGTGACTGAAGTTATACTTGGCATGGAAAAAAGGGATTTATGACCATTTTTCACACATATGACCTTGGCAGGGTCATGTGACTGACATTTGGACAATACCTGACAACTGTCTCACATTTATGATGGTTGCAGTGTCCCAGGGGGTCAAGTGATCCCCCTTTTACGACCATCTGACAAATCAACAGGGGAAGCCAGATTTGCTTAACGACCATGTTACTTAATTTAACAACCACGCTGACCTGCGTCATCTGAACACTGCTTGCAACTTTCCCAGCCGGCTTCGAATAAGCAAAGTTCATGGAGCAAACCGGAATCCCTTAATGACTGTGATTTGTTTAAAGACTGCAGCAAAAAAACAAATGCTCATAAACTTGTGCAGGACTCTCTTAATGACCTCGTCACTTAGCAACAGGACCCAATGGTGGTCACAAGTCGAGGGATGTTGTTCCATAGTCCATTGTTGTACAGTGTTGTGCTGCAAAATGTTTCATACTTTGACTAGACACTCTCGAACAGTGTAATGCAGGGGTCTCCAAACTTGGCAACTTTAAGACTTGTGGACTTCCACTCAAGAATTCTCCAGCCGGCATAGCTGGGGAATTCTGGGAGCAGAAGTCCACCCCTCTTAAAGCAGGCTGGCTGGGGGATTCTGGGAGTGGAAGTCCACCCACTTAAAGCATGGCTGGCTGGGGGATTCTGGGAGTTGAAATCCACCCCTCTTAAAGCAGGCTGGCTGGGGGATTCTGGGAGTTGAAATCCACCCCTCTTAAAGCATGGCTGGATGGGGGATTCTGGGAGTGGAAGTCCACCCACTTAAAGCCTGATGACTGGGGGTTTCTGGGAGTGGAAGTCCATCCATTTTAAAGCAGGCTGGC